TTTTAGTTGTCCGATTAATTTCTTTGTATTTTTAGTAGAGACGGGGTCTTGCTCTTGCTCAGGCTGGTCTCGAACTCCTGACCTTGAGTGATCCGCCCGCCTTGGCCTCCCAGAGTGCTAGGATTACAGGTGTGAGCCACTGCACCTGGCCGATATCTGGTTTTGAGTTTAATCATTTGAAGACTTGCCCGACTATTTGCTTCCCCACCACCACCCCCCAGATGTACTGTCTTTGCCCAGCAGCCACTTGTCATCCATTCACCCTCATCCCATCCATTTTTCTGAATCCAGTTTCTGGTGAAGATGGCAGGAAGCACCAGCCACGACCCCCTGACCCCGCAAACACACACACACACACACACACACACACACACACACACAATGTTTTCCTGCACGTCGCTGAACTTCATACATCTTATTTTTTTTACCTTTGCTGCTGTCTGAGGCTCATTCATTCCTTCTGTAAATACCAGCGAGCAGCTGCTCTGAGCCGGCACTGTCCCAGGTCCTGGGGTCACAGCAGAAAACAGGACAGACCCCACCCCTGACCTCATGGAGTTTGCTTTCTAGCGGGGAGACGAGTGGTAACAGAGACCCGCAGTCAGCCCCCCTTAGCCGCAGGTTCCGCATCCACAGATTCGATCAACAGTGGACCAAAAATATTCAGGGGAAAAAAACAATAAAAAAACAACAATAAAAATAATGCAAATTAAAAATACATTATAACTATTTACATTGTATTCGGTATTATAAGTAATTTAGAGATAAAGTATACAGGAGGATGTAGATACTGAACCATTTCACATAAGGGACTTGAGTTTCTGTGGACTTTGCTGTCCTTGGGGGCCCTGGGACCAATCCCAGGAGGATACCGGAGGAGGACTGTATAAGGTCAGGTCGGGGATATGTTCTTCGAAGAAAAATGAATCTGGGTAGGGGGAGAGTGGTGGGGCTCCCTCATCAGGTAAGGGGGTCAGGAAAGGCCTGTCCGAATTAGGGAGCAAGCCACGAGGGTGTTTGGTGTCTTAGTCCATTCAAGCTGCTGTAAAAAAACACCACAGACTGGGTGGCTTATAAAAATACAGAAATTTACTTCCCACAGTTCTGGGGACTGGGAAGTCCAAGATCAAGGTGCTGGCAGATTTGGTGTCAGGTGAGGGCCAGTTCCCTGGTTCGTGGGCAGAACCTTCTGGCTGTGTCCGCACATTGTGGAAGGGGCAGACGAGCTCTCCCAGGCCTCTTTTCTTTTTTTTTTTTTTTTGAGACAGAGTCTCACTCTGTTGCCTGGGCTAGAGTGCCGTGGCGTCATCCTAGCTCACGGCAACCTCAAACTCCTGGGCTCAGGCGATCCTTCTGCCTCAGCCTCCCAAGTAGCTGGGACTACTACAGGCATGCACCACCATGCCTGGCTAATTTTTTCTATATATTTTTAGTTGTCCGATTAATTTCTTTCTATTTTTAGTAGAGACGGGGTCTCGCTCTTGCTCAGGCTGGTCTCGAACTCCTGAGCTCAAACAATCCGCCCGCCTCAGCCTCCCAGAGAGCTAGGATTACAGGCGTGAGCCACCGCGCCCGGCTTCAGGCCTCTTTTCGAAGGGCACTGATCTCATTCATGAGGACTCCACCCAAGTGACCTAATCACCTCCCAAAGACCCCACCTCCTAACACCACCATCACGTTGGGGATTAGATTTTAACATGTGGATTTTGTGGGGACACAAACATTCAGTTCAGTCCCCAGCATTCAGGGAACATCAATCCAGGCAGGAAGCCTGGAGGTGGGGGGTGGGCAGGCCCAAGGATGGGCTGAGAGGCCGGCATGGCAGCAGCTCAGTGGCCGAGGGCAGAGAGGCAGGGGAGGCCCACAGGCCTGGGCTGGAGATACCCTAACTGGCTGCACCCTGCCTGGCACCACTTCCCTTGACAAGGCAGCGACCATATCTTAGAGCTGAAAAGTCCCTCCAGCCTGCAGGCACCGAGAGCGTCTCCCCATCGTCAGTCTAGCTGCGACTGGGCGACTGGGCGTGCTGGTGTTGGGTGCGGTCCACGCAGGCAGAAGCAGGGCCTGAGGGCGCTGCGTTCCCTGGAGGGTGGAGACCCTGAGTTCTCCAGCTCTCCCTGGAGTTCTGGAGGCTGTGTCTGGGCATGATCTTGCGCCGTGGCGTTTGAGACAGCACGGAGGGAGGTGATCAAGGAAGAACACGTGACACTTGACACCCTTAAAGGACTCGCTCATAAAGTATAATTCCAGAAAAATAAAAATGCTTTTAACAGTTTAAAATTTGATTTAAAAATATTACAATTTTAAAATATTACAAGCAGGGGTGGGGAAGTGTAATGGGAACGCCGTAGCTAACGACGATTGCGTCTTGGACTGTGCCGAATACTTTCCGTATCATCTCATTTAAACCTCATGATAACCAGCCGGGTGTGGTGGCACACACCTGCAGTCCCAGCTACTCGGGAGGCTGAGGTGGGAGGATCACTTGAGCCGGGGAGTTCGAGGCTGCAGTGAGCTGTGATTGCACCATTGCACTCCAGCCCAGGTGATGGCAAGATCTTAAAAAAAATAAAGTTCACCTTGCACAGGTAAGGAGGTGAAATGATGTGTCCAGCTCCTGAGCTGGGCCAGGCAGTCTTGTTCCAGACCAGCTGGTCCAGTTGTGTTGCTTTTAATCTCAGTCCATAGGTGCTTAAGTCATCATCAGAGCCAAAACTACCCTTGGGAAAAAATCCCTGTCACTTCCCAAGCATAGTGCTGGACTGCATTTGTCTGCCTCCTCAGTGTCCACTGATGGACGTTCGCGTGGCTTCAACCTTTCCGCTATTACGAATCACACTGCTACGAACATTCGACTGCACGTTTTCGAGTGGATCCGTGTGTCGCCTCTCTTGGGTAGATCCCTAGGGGTGGAATTGAGTCACCTGGGTTGTGTCTGATGACTTCATTGCTCTGTGAAGACAAGCGAATCCGCCCACTCTACTGAAACAGTTTCTCTTACTTCTTGCCAAGTGTGTATGTTTGAATTCGAGGACGTTCGAGTGATGAGACGACTGCATGCACCGAGTGGCCGACACGCCCCGGCGGAGCTAAGCAGAGCTCTGGGCCAGGGAGAGGGCTAGAGAAAGATACCACCATGGCTTCTAGATGTCCCTCTCCTCTCCCGGTACAGGTACAAGTCCTTGTGCCCTGACACCTGGCCGCACTGGCACGGACCTCCAGCAGAGGGCGTAGAACGGCTGATCAAATACATCGGCTACAAACCCGAGGAATACAAGTTAGGGAGGTAAGTGGCCAGCATACCGCCAAATCTGTGCCATCGAAGTGTTTCGCGCGTTGATCTGTATCCAGCCAGAGCATGAAGACCCATCTCCTAGGCATTTATGTAGATGTACAAGCAGATGCTTCTCTCCAGTTTAAATGCAGCTCTGAATGGTTGGAAGGTCTGTAGGGTTGCCCATCGGAGATGAAGTTACAAAGGGAGCCCTGGGTTCTAAACTTGACTCAGCCTCCTTGTTTGCAAAATGAAGAGGGGACCAGGGTGGACCACGTTACCTCTGTGTGCTTAGATTCTTTTGTCGTTCAAATGTATCTCTGCCTTAGAATCTCTCAGTGGGTCCTCCCTGCCAGCTCCGAACTCCTGTACGTGGCTGTCTATGGCCACCTTGGCCTCTATCTTTAGGCTCCTGTTCTGACAATCAGTTACTTATTCGATCCAAACCCCTGAGGGGAATCAGGTTCAGCACATTGTGAGGGAGGCAGGGGGTGGAGGTCAGAGGTGGTCTGTGTCTGTCTCAGATTCCATAATTTGGGGTGGGGCCGTGGGTCACGTGGCATGACACGCTGCTGCCCCCGGTGGCTGCCCTGGGAACTGTCCCTCCCAAGGCAGAGGGCTGGGGCCGGCAATCCCGGATCAGTATTGGTATTATAATTTCTTCTGCTGGTTGGTTAATGGGATCTTCTCTTAAACTTGGGTCCATATTCTTTGTATCACCATTTAAAGCCCAGGAACATAAGTGGAAGCAACTCCAAGTTATGGTGCATTCATTTCCTGCGGCTGCGTGATAAATTGCCACAAATTGGCTGGCTTAAAACCACAGAAGTTCATCCTGTCACAGTTCGGGAGGCCAGAAGTTCAAAGTCAAGGACTCGGCAGGGCTGTGCTGCCTTTTGGATCATCAATGGAAGGATCCTTGCTTGCTTCTTCTAGCTCGTTTGGTGGCTCCTTGGCTTCTGCGGCCGCATCACGCCAATCTCTGCCTCCATCTTCACCCGGGCTTTCCTGTGTCTTTCTGTCCTTTCGTCTCTTCTAAGGACACTCTCATTGGGTTTAGGGCCCGCCCTAATTCAGTACAACCCCATTTCCCTCCTTAGCTTAATCGTATCTGCAAAGACCCTATTTCCAAATAAGAGCACATGCTGAGGTTCTGTGTCGATAGGAATTGGGGGGGTGGGGGACACTGTTCCACTCACTACAGATGGTGACTGACTGATTAATAATGAAAACATTTCTTTTCACTTCTAGAACCAAAATATTCATTCGTTTCCCCAGAACTCTGTTTGCAACCGAAGATGCCTTTGAATTTAGTAAACAGCAATTAGGTATGATTTTTCTGCCCTCATTTCAACAGAGTATGAAATGAACAAGTCTTAAACATGGGTGTCTGATAGAATGTTAGGAGCACTTGCTTTGGAAGCCAGGAACAAGAGGTGGGATTATGATAGGATACGAGTGAATTTATGCCTTCGTGAATGTCTGGGGGGCAGCCGTGGATGCAGGCAGAAACGAAAACATCGTGTGCCGTCTCAGTTCTAGTTTGGATCGGACTCTTGTGCACCATTAAGACCTAAAACCGTGGGAGACCATCTCCCTTAAATGAAGGTTTTAAAAATTTCATTTGTCTTAGTATCTGATGTTGGAAGGTACAGCTTCAAAGCCTGCAGCCGGGGTGTTCGTTGTGAACGGTAAAATGAGAAAAGTTGGATTGGTGGCGGGGAGGGGGGGCGCTGGGGGGCAGAAATGCAAAAATTTAAAAAGTCAGAATGACTGGAGAGAGGGGGCTTATCCCTCGAAATCACAACTGGTCTGTCAAGGACTACGTTTGAGTGAGCTGAAGCCTTGCTGTGTGCCAGATGCACACTAAGTCCTTTATACCATGATCTCCTTTTAGTCTCAGAACAAACCTATGAGGTGTAGGTATTATCACCCGCAGTTTACATTTGGGGAAACTGAGGCACAGAGATGGTGGTAATTTGCTGAAGGCCACACAGCTAGTAAGCAGCAGAGCTGGGGTTTCTACGTGGGTCTCGTGGTGCGACCTCCACAGCGGTGGGCACTGATCGCCAGGGATCTGGTTGGAGGGCAGGTGCTGACTCAGACGGGTCGCGGGGTCCTGAGTCAGCGTCTCTAAGCAGCTCCCAGGGGACACGATGCTGTTGGTCTGTGAGGCCCTCGATGAGCTTGGCCCCTGGTGGGACTTTAGTCGCTGTGTGGAGGGAGGGACGTGGGATGGAGAAGCCGAGGGCTGTGTTTTGTGGTCACTGAGACCTGGGTTCACACTCCTCCCTGGCAGCCACATTGCCTTGAGCTTGGCACGTGTCTTTGCTGTCTCAGCCTTTGTGCCCATGTGTCTAAAGTTCTGAGGGTGCCCACCTTATGGGGTGGGGCGTGAGGATGAAATGTAACGCTTACCATGGAACCGGGGGCTCTCACCACTGGGGTGTTCCCTGCTCTGGGGAAGGAAAGAGAAAGGCCGAAAGGAAACCCTGGTCACCGGGCAGCGGCTGGGAGCCAGGCGCAGCGTAACCAGCCGGCTGTCGCTTCTGCGATGCCGAATGGGCTTCCCGTGTCGTCCCTACATCACAGGCCTTTAAGGCCCCCTTCTGACGCCCCCTCCTGGAGGTCACAGCCACAAACAGGACGCACTCATGAAAAGCCATTTCAACGAAAGCTTTCTTTTATTTTAAGTTGCGAGAATTCAAGCCACGTACAAAGGCTGCCAAGGAAGGAGGGAATACGTGAAAAAGAGACGAGCAGGTGAGAATTAAACAGAAACTCGCCAGGGAGCAGCGGCCAGAGTCGCAGCCTTCCCCTCCTTACCCACTCGGCACCTGGGGACATAGGCGCACTGCGAGTTCTCTCCCCTCACCTGTCCTCGAAGCCTTCGCGTGGGGCTGCCTCAGGGCCCAGTTCGGGGCCTCTTCTCATCACCTGATTAACTGGACATTTTAACGCCGTGGCCTGTATTTGTTCCAAGGGCGTGGCTTTCTGTTTCTGTGTTTTTGAGACAGGGTCTCGCTCTGTCTCCTGGGCTAGAGTGCTCACTTGCAGCCTCATACTCCTGGCCTCAAGTGATCCTCCTGCCTCAGCCTCCTGAGACACCACCACACCCAGCTAATTTTCCTATTTTTTGTAGAAACAGGATCTCATCATGTTGCCCAGGCTGGTCTCAAACTCCTGGCCTCAAGCGATCCTCCCACCTCTGCCTCCCAAACTGCTGGGATTACACTAGTGAGCCACCACACCCAGCCACCCAGGCATGTTTTATTTGATCCACAACAGAGCAGATTTAAAGAAAAAATTTCTGGAAAAAGTCTTCAAGTACTCTTGAAACCCCTCCCTTTTGTCCCTCCCCAGTGATGTTCGCACACAACACCCTAGGCCACACACACACGTTTCTTGGAAATAACCACTCTCTTGAATTTTGTTGTCATAACCACAAAGACTTGTTCTTTATAGTTTTACCATCTATGGATATATCTCTAAATATATTTATAGTTTGGCATGTGTTGAACTTAAATTATATTTTTGGTATCTTTGGTGACATTTTTGGACTCCAAATTGTTTTTGAAATTCAACCAGATGTGTGTAGATTGATTCCTTTTCATTGTTGCATAGTATTTCACTATAGCAGAGGTTGGCATGATAGTAAATATTTTAGACTTTTGGGTCATGTGGTCTCTGTCACAGCTACTCAAGTCTGCCATTGTTAGCACAGAAGTAGCTCAAAGAACGGGCATGGCTGTGTTGCAATAGAGCTTGATTTACATAAACAGGCGGCAGGCTGTAGTTTGCCGGCCCCTGAGCTGCATGAGTATACCACAGCTTAGCTGTTCTGTTGATGGATGTTTCTTGTTTGCAGTTGCTTGTTTTTGCATAGAGACAATACTGCTCTGAACAATAAGAGAAAAGCGTTTTAAAATTTTGAATAACTGAAAAAATCTGAAGCAGTTAAAAATTGGGAGACAAGCCAGAATCTAGTTTGTTTCTTTTTTTTTTTTTTTTGAGACAGAGTCTTGCTCTGTTGCTGGGGCTAGAGTACTATGGCGTCGTCATAGCTCACTGCAACCTCAAACTCCTGGGCTCAAGCAATCTGCCTGCCTCAGCCTCCCGAGTAGCTGGGACTACAGGCATGTGCCTCCACACCCAGCTAATTTTTTTTTTTTCTATTTTTAGTAGAGATAGGGTCTCCCTCTTGTTCAGGCTTGTTTCGAACTCCTGACCTCAAGCGATCCTCCCACCTCGGCCTCCTGGAGTGCTAGGATTACAGGCATGAGCTACTGCACCCGGCCAGAATTTAGTTTTTGTGTGCTCCAGTTTATCCCAATTTTTAAATGTAAACAACTAAATCAAAGCACTCATCTATAATAGCACAAGTACCACCCCTCTCCCTGAAAAAGGCACCAGGAAGCTGACCCTCTCCTATAATTTGGGGGCATCTCTGGAAGCTTCCCACAGCACCCTCTGTTCTGTCTCCCTGGTTCAGTTGTCTATCTGGGCGCCCCCAGGTAAGAACTGACCACATTCATCCAACTTTGCATCTCTGGGGCTAACGGGGTGCTGAGTGGGCGTCCAGATGTTTGTTGAGCAGGTGAATACTTCTGGAGAAGCCTTTTGTATTTAAATGTGATTGTGCTCACCTTCTAATGCCAGCAGTGAACTCTTTCAGCCATTGTACTGGAAACCTACTGGCGCGGAGCCCTGGCTCGGAGGGAGGCTGAGAGGAGAAAGTGGGCTGTGCAGATTATCAGAAAGTAAGTTCTCGAGTACAACAGGGAGGCGGCACCCACTCAACACTGGTGTGCTGCAAAGGATGGTCGTGCATGTGGTTGAGTTTTTGACTATTTTTGGATTCGTGCAGAAAGGAGATCTTCCCTCCAAGATGCCCTTAGGAATTCAGTCCTATCTCTTTGCTCTGAGCTCCCGAATTTGATGGCAGTCACAACTTTGTACATTTGCAATTTGTCTCAGCCTGGCTCAAAAATCACAGTCAAGTGCCTTCTGAGGCTGGGCAGGTCAAGCCGAGTAAGTCCTATGAGCTGGGATAAGACAATAGGGGAAGGTAGAGACTGCGGCAAACTGGAACGCTCAGTCCATCTCAAAGGGGACAGTAATTACTCCGTTCCAGTTGACTGCTGCCTTGGGCCAATGCTACCAGATCACTCGAGGAAAGCTGAATCCAGCTTTTATGGAAGACCTCCCAATTTTTTTTTCTAAGTTGCCAACTAATTCAAGCTACTCAAAACAATAAGCAGTGTGGGTGAAACAGAACCTATCTTTGGGGCAGACTGGCCTGTGTGGTCACTTAAACAATCTCTACCATTTGGCCTCCTTTGAATCAATCAAATGAGAGAACATAAACCTCAGTGAAGAAATGGGCCAGAGAAACTAACAAAACATTTCCCTTTTTAGGTTTATCAAAGGATTCATCAATCGCAATAAACCCCTTTGTCCTGACAACGAGGAGTTTATAGTGTTTGTGCGCAAGAATTACATCTTGAATCTTCGGTACCATGTTCCAAAGAACGTCTTGGACAAGACCTGGCTGAGGCCCCCTGGCATCTTGGCAAACGTAAGGACAGATGTGGGACTCTGATGTGACGTGGGCGCGGATGGAGCTGGCCTCTTGTGTGTCTTTGTGCTGCCTCCCTTTGGCTAGAAAGAGCTGCCTTAGCAAAGCACTTCCTTGCAAGGATGTTGCACAAGAAATTTAACTCCTTAGAATTTGTGATCTCCTTAATTAGCATTATAAAGCCAGTGGAGGTCTGGTGTGCTGGACAAAGCACTTTCGAATGGTTTCTACTTTTTTTTTTTTTTTTGAGACAGAGTCTCACTCTCTTGCCTGGGGCGAGTGCCGTGGTGTCAGCCTAGCTCACAGCAACCTCAAACTCCTGGGCTCGAGCAATCCTCTTGCCTCAGCCTCCCAAGTAGCTGGGATTACAGGCACTCGCCACCATGCCTGGCTAATTTTTTTCTATTTTTTAGTTGTTTGGCCAATTTCTTTCTATTTTTAGTAGAGACGGGGTCTCACTCTTGCTCAGGCTGGTCTCGAACTCCTGAGCTCAAACGATCCGCCCACCTCGGCCTCCCAGAGTGCTAGGATTACAGGCGTGAGCCACCGCGCCGGGCCAACAAATGGTTTCTATTCTTGATGTAGCCTTCCTAGAACAGTGTTTCTCAAAAGATGATCTGAGGACCCCCTGTGGCTGGAACGTAGGGTCTGTTATAAGATTCCTGGGCTCTACTCTGGATCCACTAGGAACCTTGTTCATAGCCAACTCCTCAGGTGACTCATAAACACATTCAAGTTTGAGAACCACTAGTTAAGCACTAGGGAGAAGTTAGAGCAAGATTGGAAGGTTAGTGGCTTTGACTATAAAATATCAATGTTGTACTTTAAATCAAACTGAATTCAACTGTGTTTTCAAAACTTCTATTTTGGTCATCACAGCCCAAGACAGGGTGTGAGCGAGGCAGGTGGAAAAGTGGTGTGTTTTCCACACAGGCGTCAGATCTGCTCAGGGAAATGTGCGTGAGGAACCTGGTGCGGAAGTACTGCCGCGGGATCACGGCCGAGCGGGAAGCGATGGTAGGAAGTGGTGTCTGCAGGGAGGCAGGACCCTGGAGTGGGGGTGGGGGGAAGTGCTGGTCCTACACTGTGTCAGAAGCCCTCATCCGTCATTTCACCTATAAGCCCAGGGCCAGGCTAGTCCCAGGCCTCACAGATGCGCTGAGCCTGAGTGTAGACCACATAGCAGAGAGCCCTCGATGAATGTCAGCTGTTGTTATCAGCATGGCTCCTACTGTTACCATGAAAACAATCCAGATGGCCCCTGCGCTGCAAAGCATGCAGGACCCCTTTCTGCTGAAGGTCTGGTTTTGTTGATGCTAATCTGTAGGACTTTTCTGTAAAGAGCTACAGGGTAAATATTTTGGGCCTTGGGGGCCACACGATCTGTTGCAGTTCCTCGGCTCTGCTGCCATAGTGAGAAAGCAACCACAGACAACATGTAAATGAATGGCGTGGCTGTGTTCCAATAAAACTTTACTCACAAAGCCTGCCAATCTCTGAAGTTCTGAAAACTCCCACTTTCGGGAAACCAGTGCAAGTAAGGGGACCGGCAGAATTGTCAACCCCAGTCTCTACGGGTATAATTTTTACAGCACTTTGGCCAAAGCCAGTAACGTGTTCCTCCTACAGCTTAGCCAACAAAACACATGATAATAGCGTGGGGCTAAAGCTCCCCTATCCCAGAGAGCCCCGGGATACCATTTTTGTCCTTTTAATAATGTATTACCAGATGCAGCAAAAGGTGGTTACGAGTGAACTATTCAGGGGAAAGAAGGAAGGCTATGTGGAAAGTTTGCAGCAACCCTTTGCCGACAGTCGGATAGGTAAGTACTTGGCCTCCCAGCTCTTAAAAAAAGTCGGAGGAAGATGCTTGGCTCTGTAGCACGTCCTGCCAGCTATTTCCCCAGCCGAGACCTCAGCACAGAGGAACATGCAAAAGCAGATCCTAGTGGCTTTGCCCAGGGTTAGTATTTAGTAACGATTCACGGTGTTCTCGTTCCCTCCCTAGATGAAGGAGACATTAACCCCAAAGTGCTTCAACTAATTAGCAATGAGAAAATCCAGGTAAGGCAGTGTGTCCTCAGCCACAAACACAAGTCCCTTATGAGGCCTGAGAATGGGGTGTGTTTTCCATAAAGAGTGTCTAGAAGCACTATTTAAATGCAGGGGTACAGCTGGGTGGGCCGGGGCTCTCAACTGCGACACTCTGAGTATTAAGTAGGAATATGGGGGATGCGTGACACTTAGAGACCCGCTGCTGTTCTTAGGGTCCATTTGTTTCCACCCTGGAAACTGTCTTTGTTTGCTTTCCTACAAAATTGAATGAAACGCAGCCATGGACTTAACCACGAAACCTCCCATATTAGTGAGAGGCAGTGTGGCACAGTGCCCGGGTGCAGACACTGGCTTCTCAGTGGCTGTGAGCTCCTGAGCAGGTTACTTGAGGTTTCGGTACCTCTGACGTTCTGTGACTGTGGATGACAGGGTCCCTGAGAGGACGGACGAGTCAACGGGCCGCGGCCTGGCACATGGCAGCAGGTGAACATCTGCCTTTACCATGTGCTCCGGCGGCTTCTCTGCCCCTTTTGGTTCCCTGGAGCCTGTGCTACTTGCCTGGACAACCCTCTGGCTCTGAAGGTTTCCAACCCTCTGACCTCTGAGGACAGACCCGGGAGGCCGGTCTTAGCCTTGACTTTCTCAGAGGGCAATGCAGGAAGGTGGAACTAAATCAAAACCTACCCCGCAGAGAGCCAGGGTGCAGGAAAAAAAATGCAAATCTGTTTGAGCCTCTCTGAGTGCTTGCAGTAACTTTGCTGGAGTCTGAGCAGCAAGTACTCTGCCCACCCCCCTGCCACGTGGTAACCTTCCCCTCGATGACAGTAACCTCCTTGCAGTATGGCATCCCGGTCATCAAATACGACAGGAAAGGCTTCAAGGCACGGCAGCGGCAACTCATTCTTACTCAGAAAGCAGCTTATGTGGTGGAACTTGCCAAAATCAAGCAGAAAATAGAGTACTCGGCACTCAAAGGTAAGAAGTGGGCAATCTTCAGACAGTTCACTGAGTTGACTCAGCTACTGGAAAGACCAGGAGCGAAGCTCTCAAATGGGGGACACAAGTACAAGGTGCCCATAAAGCCTGATGTTGCCCAGCCTGGCCTGGGCCTCCTCTTCTGGTGTAAATATCAACAGCATCCCTTCGTTCAAGTATCCAGGTTGGCCAATAGTCACCTTCTGTAATGACCTTTTTACTCGGATCACAGCCCCATAGCACGCTGATCTCTGGAGTACGCCCTTCATCCCACTGGGCCCAGCTAGGAGAGAAAAGCATGAGGTTGGGGAGCCCCTGGGCGCGTCTCTTCTTTCTGCATTAAGGTCAAGCTGTGCAGGTCCTGGCCTCTAACTCTGGATCTGTCTTAAGGTGTCTCCACTAGCAATCTGAGCGATGGAATCTTAGTCATTCATGTTTCTCCAGAGGACAACAAGCACAAGGTAACTGATGGCCACCAGTCTCTGCTAAAAGAGGGGGGAAAACAGCCCACTGGCAAACGTTAAGTTGCCCGCTGTGAAACCTCAGCATCTGAGTGTTTTTCCTTGTAAACCCTGCCTTGCGGCCTCTCTACCTCAGGGGGATGCCATTTTACAGTGTGAACACGTCTTTGAAGCAGTTACTAAACTCGTCATGCTGGTCAAGAAGGAGAATATTGTGAATGTTGTTCAAGGAAGGTAGGTGGCTTCATCTTCAGCCCAGGAAGTCAGTGTTACAATGGTTGTTAACAGATGAGGGAAGACGCAATGTTAATCTTTTCACCCACACCTGCCCCTTCCCTCCAAACCAAGCGAGCACCATCTTGGGGTAGGGGCTGATCCCGTAATGGTGTACCCTTCCCTGTCTTCATCCCTGTGCTCTCGGGCTCCAGAGAAGTGAAGAGGTCAGTGATCACTCATTGACCTCAGGAAGCAATAATCTTCCCATATAGTTTGCAAAGGAGGTAGCTGTGTTCCTGAGGGAAGTTGTCCCTGTGTAAAAGGTGGACCTCTGGGCTCAAGCAGGTTACAGCCACACTGTTGGTGTGGGTACCCCTTGGGACAGTTGTTGGAGCACACTGGGCCACAGGTGTGCTGGTGGATCAGGATATAAAAGGAAACCACCTGGCACAGAATATACTATTCTTATTTAATTCTCTCAGTAACTCTTAAGTAGGTGCCGGCTTTTCTGTTTCATGGGCAAGGCCAAGTGGAGCACAGGGAGGTCAGCCAGCAGGCCCGAGGCTGCGGAGCTTGTCGGTGATGGGGCACAGATTTCTAAGGCCCAGGCTTGATTCTTTCGTGGCAATGTGCTCCCAGAGCCCCCTTGGAAGCAGACTAGCCTGCAGAGCTGTTTCTTTTCTCTCATACTTGTGCTGTTCCAAGTTTTTACTTGATGAGCAAATTTATATCTTAAGTAGAATAGGGAGAGAGCTGACTAGTTTGAAAAATGTTTGTCCCACGAGTTTCAGCATGAAGACGTGTGGGTGGTGCTTCGGCATCAAATTGGCACTTTGAATCTGTTAATCACCTTCAGAGTAACTATAGAACATACCAGTTGCCCAGCTGTAAAAAGGGTTTTTCTTCTTTGCATTGCTCAAACATGCAATAAATCAGGAATCTGATCTTGAAACTACCGAAGTTTCATAAGTGAATTTCTTTTGCAGACTTTAAGGGTAGCGGAAGAAAACAGAACATGTTAGTAATTTGTCACTTTGTGTATTTTAAGTTTACAGTTTTATATTAGCCCTGGAAAAGAAGGCACAATAGCTTTCGACACTGGACCGGAAGAACAAATCTATAAAGATAAAAATGGACAGTTAACAGTGGTAAGTAGTTGTACCTGGGGAGGAAGGTAGGCAGGTTTAGATGAGAATATTCTACGAACTGCAGTCCTGTGGATTGACTAGAATCAGAAGCTAGTTCATTTCTCCCCAATCCTGATTCTACATCTGAAAGACAGGAATTGTTCCCAGAGGTATTTAAACACTGAATGAAAAGGGGAAAAAGTACTAGCTGGGAGTGGTGGTGAGCACCTGTAGTCCCAGCTACTTGGGAGGCTGAGGCAGGAAGATTGCTTAAGCCCAGGAATTTGAGGTTGCCGTGAGCTATGATCCTGCCACTGTATTCTACCCACAGTGACAGAGCATGAAACTAAGAAAAGGGAAAAGTTTAGTCGTCAGTGAACCAGGAGTTGACTTTCAATAGTTCAGTTTTAAACGTCAAAGTCCAACCTTTCAGGGGATGGAGAAGGCCTTATGCCTCCTTAACCTGGCTCTGCACTGGACGTTGGTGCCCCACCCCCAAATACAATGACTTATTGGCTGGGGGTGTGCCCTAGGCTCTGGCATGTGAGAGATCCCCAGACCTAATGGAGGTTTGGGAACCACTGCCATCTTATGAAGAAATTGAACCTGAGCACGCAGGAGCTTCTGCCCTCCCTGACTCCACTCCTGGGCTTGGGTCCGGGCTGGAAAGTGGTAGTATACAGAGCTTGTTTTGATCCAATGTTGCAGGGAAATGACATGTTAAAAGCAGAAGGAGCTGAACCTTTAAAATGTATTTTATCTTTATGCTGAGAATTATTGATACAAACCAATTAAAAACGGTCTATCAACAGGGAATAATCTCATATACAGTTAAACTTACACTATTTACCTATAAAATCATTTTATGAATGTAAATAGTACAGTAGCTTTTACAGCATACTTGTCCCAACTCCTTCAGGGACAAGGAAAATAAGGATCACTTTGAAAAAATCACCTTGTAAGTTTATATCCAGTTTACGTGCTGTCTTACTACCTCTCCTTTGGAGTCAGTGTCTGTCTTTCTCCCTGGTGGGCCCCAGCTGAAGATGCCAGTGTGGAACTTAGTGAGCCACTTTCTAATTCTGATGTGTCTTAAGGTGTGTGGGGACAGGCAGCTCACGGCCCATCCAGACCCACCTTGCTGACGGTGACAGTTGAGGTGATAACTGCTTCCTTCCCCTCGAAGGGAGCTGACAGGTCTCCAAACCGACTCGTACCTCTCTCCCAGGTGTCGGTCCGGAGGAAGTCCTGATAGAGGATGACGTCTGACCTCTCCCATCACCGTTTTTGCTCCAACTGAGGAAAGTACCAAGGAAGCAGGAATTTGATCCAGTTAGCTCCGCCTTCAAGGAAAGATCCCAGCAGCACTGGGGGGAGAATCGCATCTGAAGAACTGAGGGGCATGTTATGCCAAAGCCTAACCCCAGCTGCCCTGGGGCACCATGTTAAAATGCCTGCCTCCGGGAGCACTGGCAGGTCACCTGAAGGGGTGGTTTTCAATACTCCCAGTAGTACCTACACTTGACGATGGGCACTTCAACACACCACTATGGAGTGGGCAAGATTCTCCACCTTTGTCAGGCTGCCCTGAGACACAGTGAAATCTTATGTACAGCAGGTCCTCTAGTAAAATCATTAGAACCTTGATGACAAAAAAATTCCTGGCCACAGTTGTCTGTGGAGTTTGCACATTCTCCCCATGTCTGCGAGGGTTTCTTCTCACAGGCCCTGGATGTGCGCTGGTACAGCTCTGTGGTTCCAGCGTGAGTGTGCCCTGCAGTGGAGTGGAATCCTGGCCAGGGTGGCTTCCTACCTTGTGCACTGGGTTGCTGGGATGGGCTCAGGCCCCCTGAGACCCTGAACTGGAACAAGCAGGCGGGAAAATGAATGAATACAAATTATTGTAAAATACAAATTTGAAAAGTATGATTATCATACAAATGCATAACACTAAACGTGGTATAAAAGCATCTTTGTGACTGGTTTCGAACTGTGTGGCAGCAGGGGATCTGAGTAAAGGAAATTTTATAAAGCCACAAAATTCAAATTTTGCTTTAAATAAATGGAACTCAGAAGTGTCAAGGAAATGTTTCTGATTATGTTTCTTATGGGGTCTTTTAGGTCCCAGATGGCGAGATGAGTCCCCACCCCCAATATTAAATCAGTGGTAAAATCAGTGGTAACACCAGCTGATTCATTCTGCTTTTGCACAAGCCAGACCACCTTTGACCCAAGACTACCTGTGTTTAAATTCACATGCTACAGAAAAACGACTCATCTTTCCTTTCCACGCTGAGCAACGTTTACGGTGGTAAGGTAGAAGGGTAGGGGCTCTGCCTTGCTGTAAACCGTACTTCCATGGCTCGGTGTTGCTGGGCATTCCTGAAAAGACCCAGAGAACAGATTTAAATAGAAGCATTATATGATTTTTATTTTACATATGTCCACAAATGCTTATACAACATACAGTGACTACTTCTAAAACTTACAGCATCTTTTCCTAGCACAAAGAGACAGAAAGGTTAATTAACGACACTTAAATGTGTTACAGTGACGTTGGGTAGAGCCCTAAAAATAGCACATACTGGACAGGAAGGGCTGAGTGTTGTTCACACTTCGGTCCTGAATAGCTGCTATAAGGTACAGCAAATACACCTGAATAGGGGGCTGGGGTACCTGTGCAGGGATCAACCAGCTAATCCACTACAGGAGGGTGACAGAAGCAGCTTTGTAAGGAATTGTCTTGGGTACAACCTCCCAGTCACCACAATCAGATGACTTAGTTGATCACAACAGACTAAAAGCTGCTGCTGCTTTTTAAATTGTAAGCTATTACAGTGTAATAAAACCTTACTCTTTTTGCCAAATTTTACGCCAGTGTTTCACCTGGATCGTTCTTAAATTATAAATATTGACTTTTGCCCTTAGTGCTAACATAAGAAAAATCAGTTCCATATTATAGAGTATATTTGATAAGTGCTTGGACCAGCCAACACGGTCTGCCAGCTCACGGCCATATGCAGCTAACGGTATCACTCACCACGGAATGTTTTATGAACCTGTGCATATTCTGAAAAGGCAAAGATCTAAAACTACAGGTGCAAAGCTGGAAGAAAAGTGAAGTTAGAGCTGCCAGAAATATTAGGTCATAAGGCATAGAAGCCAAAATAAAACAGATTGTTCCACAAACAACTTCTTCACACAAACATTTAAAAAACAATTTATACAATGGCTTTTCCATTCCTACAGAAAACATCAGCACTGACATTCACTTTAACGTTCTAAAAAAGTACAACCCAAAAGGGTTGGTGTTTAAAACTTAAACAGTATAAAATATTTATGAAACATTATTTCGTAAGCCCTCTTTTCATAGCACTTAATAAAATCCAAATGGCCTAATATAAAAGTTTCCCACACAATGGTTTAAAAAGTATCTACCCAATGCATGATTTTTACGTTCAGTCATGATTGTTTTACAGTTTTATTGTAGGCTTTGCTGCTGGATACAAAATAAAGGCATACAACTGTCACAGACAGGGCAGTACGTACAAAGTCTAAGCTGTAAAAACCGTTTCAAAATATAAACTCGTTTTTTGGACTACATCTGTCAAAGGCTGCCCGTGTTAATACCTTTGGTATAAAACTGTAACGATTCCCTTGATGAGCAAATCCATCCATCACCTCACACACATGCACATCTCCTTGTAACTACTCCACCTACTCTAGTCTCAACAACCCAGATCACTCACGACTCACTTCTCTTCCTCTGCAGGCGCAGAGGAGCCGGGAGGTAGGTAACCGAGAACATCCGTCCTACACGAGCACCAGGCAGACAGCCAGACTCCAGCGCAGGCCACCTGTGCCCCACAAGCACACGTTCCCCCATCAACAGTCGCACACATCCCTTTACACAAACAGGAACACTGACACAAACCAGACCCAAAGGTATCTGCGCATTCTCTCAACCTGTACACTGCTGGCCACTCTATACTGTGCTGGAATCAGAGGCAAAGACAAGAAGGGGATCGCCAGGTGATGGCTGTGTTTACATCAGGGAAGCTCCTTAGGGGCTGGTATTTCAGGGGTGTCCCTGCTTACATGCAGGGGGAGGACAAAGAGTTTGGGCCACACTGAATTTCTAAGCAAAGGGTAGGGCATCCACTTATAGCAGTAAGCCCAGCTTCATGGGGAAGGCACCGATCCCTTGGAGGAGTAGTTTGTGAGCTATGCCAGTCACAGGGTCAGATGGCCTTCCTGGAACCGAGTAGGTCAACAAGGAGAGCAACTGAAGGAGCCAGGAGCAGACTAAACACTCACCGCCAGGGAACACTCTGCTCCTAGGCAGCCAGCACTAAACCAAAGACCAGTCAAGGCAGCAAAAGGCTTGCCCCTTAAAGAAAGCTTTGCACCCAAATCTCCACTAGTAACGACAACTCAGAGGCTTATTCGGTCACATTTCCACTGCTACAAGCTGCAATCATCATCAAGGTCGAGGCGCAAAACCACGTGGCGGAATGAACTTGGAGCAAAGCAGTGGATATTGTGCCGGGGCAAAACACACAGGAACCAGGAGCCCACCTGCTGGGGCTGGAGGGTTGTGATATATGAAACAGGGAGCTCGGACACCCTTGGTGGCCACCAACTGCAGAACTCCTCTTGGAATTGTCAAACTGAACCCTTAAGAGAGTGTCACCCAAAAGCCCAAATACATCGTCAACACCTACAAAAATAAATACTGCAAACATAAGTTCTCATATATACTTCACGCTCATTCATACTTTTCCTCTGAGAACCAAGAAAGCCTGGCTCCAAAGGTTCCCGGATTCTCATGAAAAGTAGAGACCTTAGACACAGCTTGCTCAACAAAAGGGCTGCACAGACCTGGGTTGAGACGATCAATTCACCTTCTTAAGAAGTATCAAAATAATTATCTGGCTTGTTACAAAACGGGCTCGAGGGGAAGTGGAAGGTGCCCAGGAGCCCACGTAGGATCCGAGCGTGGCATGGGGGGGAGGGAGGGGGCGGCGGGAGGAGGGTGGCTGGGTCAGCTCGCCTGCTCACTGGTGGAGGTGGGCCCGGTCATCCGGACGCTTGATGTGGATCCGCCGCACACGCTCAATTCGCTCCCGTTCCCGCTCCTCGTCCTCATCCAGGTGGTGGGAGCGCCCGGCTGCCCCGCCTGTGGCCTCCAGGAGCGCATTGTCAGGTCCCCGGCCATCCTGGGCCTCGTACAGCAAAATGTTCAGGGTCTCTTCATAAATCCGGGCTTCAGGGAACTCAACCTATGTTTGAAAAAAAATATAGGACAGGTAAGTTAGCATAATACACAGCCCACCACCCCTGCCACCTGTACTTCCGGGCAGGGCCGTCAGGCTAAATCAGGTCCCTGGGATTCCACTAAAGACTCATTATTATTTTTAGTTATTTTCAAAAGGCAACACACGTGGCCCTGAATTTATAAGAGACCAAGGGCACACAGGGAAATAGGCAATGCTTCTCATCACCCTGCCTTCTTTGAGAGATTCTGTGCATGTAAATGTGTGTATGTACATAGTCGCACATTTTTAAAAACACAAAAGGTGGCCCATTACACACATTCTTATGTACTTTTTATTTATTTTTATTTTTTTAAGAGACAGGGTCTCACTATGTTGCCCAGGCTGGTCTCGAACTCCTGGCCACAAGCAATCCTTCTGCCTCAGCGTCCCGAGTAGCTGGATTGACGTTGTCCAGCTTGTACCTAACTTAGCCTAGAGATCATTCCACATCAGGGAATTACAAAGAATGCAACAATGCAATGGTGAATCGCATTTCACTCTGATGGACATTTAGGTCATTCCCAGTACGTTGCTGCTAACAGAGCTGCAACCTGGCACAGGAGTCAGTCCTTCCACACCTTCGAGGGATCCTTAAAGCCGCTTTCTCTCTGAACAGGGACTGCCTGGGGACCCTCATGAAATGGACATGATCCCTCCTGCTTTGTTTCCCCTCAGGGTTAAGGCATTGTCAACAGAAGGGCCACACAGTGGGCCCCACACATCTGACTCACAGACTAGACTCTGCTTTAAGGGCTGAACTCTGAGGTTCTGGTTCCAGGAGAAATGGAGTAAGCACACTCTACCCCTGTCTTCCTCACCGACGCTGCAAAGCCAGGACAGATGCACACAGCAGCTAGCCAAGGACTGTGAGCAGTGAATAAAGATCTTAGACACAGCTTGCAGGCAAACTGGGGGAAGAGACCAGAATTTGAAGTAATACCAAACCAGCAGTGAGTTTACCACTGCTGGCATCCATGTAGCCTGAAACTTAGAAATGGGCACCGGGACAGAGAAGGCTCCAGAAGGTCTCTGGTGACCAGAGGAGCCAATAGAGTCTAACACGCAAGCATGAGGGGAAATCTGATTTTATTTTCTCTGTTTTCTTGTACTCCAGACCCGAGCAATCGGAGGCAGCAGTGGCTGTGGTGGCAACCAGAGGCCACAGGTGTCAAAGTGGAGGGCGGGGACCTTCCTTTCTGACAAGAAGAGCTGTGGTCTCAAGAGGATAGGGTGGCTCCCCACAGCTTTTTTTTTCCTATCTTCATGCTGCTTGGCCCCAGATAGAGGCATAGTCACAGGAAGTAGGTGGCAGAGTAACTAGAGAACCAGCTTTCTGGCCAGACAACCAAAAAACGAGAGCCCTGGGGAAGATTAAAGTACTGAGGAGATTGTGAAGGAGGGGGCGCTTGACAAAGCAAACTGCACAGAACTCCTAGACTCACCCCCAGCTGCAGGCTCTGCCCCTCAACAGCAGACACAGACTGTAATAACTGAACACTGGGACAGACACTGCCCAGGACTGGCCACAGCATGGCACACAAGTGGGACAGATGTGAAAGCTCTGAAACTGAACTGTCACTGGCAGTACAACCCATAGAAGCCTGGTGGAACTTGTAGCCTGAACCTAACCGGGTCAACTGCCTGCTACAACAAAAATATCAACATTCTCCCTAGGATTTATACAAGGCCTAGACTAGAGCGCTGTAACATAACATCCACAATGCCCAGGATACAATTCAAAATTTCTTGGCATATGGAGAACCAGGAAAATCTCAACTCCTGTGGGAAAAGTAAATGCCAGTGCCAAGATGATACAAGATGTTGGAATTATCTAACAAAGTCCTGCAAGCTGTTATTATAAAGATGCTTCAGCAAGTAAGGGCAAATGCTCTTAGAGCAAAAGGAAACATAGGAAGTCTCAGCAAGGAGACAGAAGATAAAAAGAAGAACCAAATGAACACTTTAGAACTGAAAAATACAATAACGGAAACAAACATAAAAACAAAAAACCCAACGCACTGGAAGGGCTCAATAGCAGAGTGTAGAGGACAGAGGAAAGAGACAATAGCAGTGATACAATCTGCAACAGAAAGAAAAACGTTCACTAAAGGGCAGAATTCCGTGCTTCCTTACCACCTACTCCCCAGCAAATCGGAACTAGGAACCAAATGAACAACGTATTGATATGTATGAAATACCTGCTTAAACTTTAATTTCAGCACGTCACACTCTTTCCGATTGAACCACAAAAGACAGCTAAATGATATTAAAAGAATTAGTAAAGCACTTGGAATGTTGTATCACAGAAGGTAAGATACCAATTATTACCAAAAAAAAAAATAGCCCCCGAACCCAAATGGGACATCGGCATAGTGACTTGAGGAAACAAAACGTGAGTCTCTGCCCCAAAGCACAGCTCCCAGAGGCTCGGGCTAGAATGAAGCAGGAACCTGTTCCTTCACTAGCAGCTGTCTCTGACACCAGCTCCCTGGAAAGCCAGTCACAGGCTTCTCCTGGAGAAACGAAGAAGCCCTTAGTGACAGACAGCAGAGCAAAAGGAGCCATGGAAATGGGGCCCTGGCCTCCCATCTTGCCTCTGCCACTAACCAGGTTCACAAACGCCACTACAGGCTCGCTCTGGAACCCATCTGCTAATCTCAAAACAGCTGGGATCAGACCACATGGTCTCTAAATCTCTTTGCTCCCTGTTAAGCTCTAAAAATGAGCAGTCTTAATATTTTAAAGCTTAATCAATATGATGACTATCCTTTTAAATACCCAAGGGTAGAGGCAACCCAGGTATATTACAAAAATCAAACCATGACCAAAAAGGGGGATCTAGTTACTGGAGGAATTCACAGTCCTTTTAAAAAAAGCCATAGGACAAAAGAGGATGAGGTGCCTTGCTAACAGGATAAGGGAAGCAAATGAGTCTGGGCCCTTTCCCTGGTATCTGTGGGGGAAAAAAAGAGAAGCCTCAGTGTTTTCCCCTTCTTGGCTATCTTAAAACAAAATATACCCTTTTTGGATAGATTCTGAATACTTATGAATATGTTGTCAATTTAATCCTGTGAATGCTGGGGAGGGGGAGCAGATTGAGCAGGAGTGACCCTGAGTTGGTGGCCCTTGAAGCTGGGTCATGGGTACATGGAAGATCATTGCCCTACTAATTCTGTGTATGAGGCTCACGCCTGTAATCCCAGCACTTTGGGAGGCCCAAGTGGGAGGGCTGCTTACAGCCAGGAGTTCAAAACCAGTCTGGGCAACATAGCAAGACCTGGTCTCCACAAAAATATAAAAATAAATTCGGTGTATGACTTAAATTTTCAGTAATAAGTTAAAGAGAAGAGACTCTGGTTTCTACTTTATGATCTGATTTTCTCTTATTTGCTTTTTGCTTGCAGCCAGCTCCAGAACCATGCAGAACTCTGTGCCTCCTAGAGCTGTGGGGACGGTAATAACCTGAGAGACTGTATGAGGAGGACTGGAGGCAGGCCAGTTCTGCAGCAGACCTGCTGCATGCCACTGGTAATCAGATTGTCATGTTTCTCTTAGGCTGAAAAAGAAATGACAGGGTATATAGTGTGATTAATAATAAAAAAAAAAAAATAGGCCAGGCGCGGTGGCTCACGCCTGTAATCCTAGCTCTCTGGGAGGCCGAGGCGGGCGGATTGTTTGAACTCAGGAGTTCGAAACCAGCCTGAGCAAGAGCGAGACCCCGTCTCTACTAAAAATAGAAAGAAATTAATTGGACAACTAAAAATACATAGAAAAAACTAGCCGGGCATGGTGGCGCATGCCTGTAGTCCCAGCTACTCGGGAGGCTGAGGCAGAAGGATCGCTGGAGCCCAGGAGTTTGAGGTTGCTGTGAGCTAAGATGACGCCACGGCACTCTAGCCCAGGCAACACAGTGAGACTCTGTCTCAAAAAAATAAAATTAAATTAAATAAAAAATAAAATTAAATAAAATAAAAAAAATTAAAAAAGGCCATGGCAGAAAGATTGCTTAAGGTCAGGAGTTCAAGACCAGCCTGAGCAAAAGCAAGACCCTATCTCTACTAAAAATAGAAAAATTAGCCGGGTGTGGTAGTGCACACCTGTAATCCCAGCTACTTGGGAGGCTGAGGCAGGAGGATCGCTTGAGTCCAGGAGTTTGAGGTTGCAGTGAGCTATGATGACACCACTGCACTCTAGCCAGGCTGACAGAGTGAGAGAAGAAAGAAAGAAAGAAAGAAAGAAAGGAAAGAAAGGAAAGAAAGGAAGAGAGAAAGAAAGAAAAAAAAGAGAAAGAAAGAAAAAAAAAAAAAGAAAACCTCACATAGCCCAAGGAGGTCAAGCATGCAGAAGACCTAAAGAGAGTGAAGTCCAGTGAACAGTAGGCCAGATCTCTAGCAGTACTTGGTGGTGTGATCTAGCCTCGGGGAATGGCAAGGTGGCACAAGTCAAGGGAGAGGTCGAGCCTGTTGGTCTGGAAAGGATGACATAAAAATGGATCCAGAGCCCAGCTCAGTCAGGGAGCCAAGAAAGCCAACAAGGTTAGGAGCTAAGGAACTCCAAACAGGCCCTAGGAAAGAGCGGAAGGAAGCTCCAGGTCAGTGGGTAAGAGGACGACAGACAGATGCCAAGTAAGTAGTAAGTCATGACTAGAAAGCCAAGGTCAAGATCTTGAAGGCAGCACAGTTCCTCTGATGAGTGAGACTATATGAGGCCATGCTGGTGGGCAAGGATGTCACATGGAGGAAGGTAAGGAACAGCGCTGATGTCAGGTAGAGAAAACGCTGGCAGCAGGGTACAGCCATGGATGTAAGAGTAAATCTAGACCTATGTTTATGGCCAAGGAATCTGGGTGTAGTATGACTGTCTACTTGCTGAGATTCAGAAGGGAAATGCTGTTGTTTCTCCAAGACCTACATTTGGATCTTTCCAAGGCCTAAAAGATAAGGAATATTTTAATGACGAGCAACCACAAGGCAATGAAAAGCATTTTAAAGCCTTTCCCTAAGTTTATTTTGTTCAAGTTAAAGGAAGTTCAACAAGTACATATTTCAGAACAGCCACTCAGAACTGTCCTCTCAAGGCTCTTACCTTGGTCTGTTTCTTCTCAGTGGCATAGACGATGGAGGTACAACAGACTTCAGCAATCTTGCGGCCCTGTCCATAAAAGGACCAGCAGCAGATTTCATCCCCAATAACATCCTTTATGAATAGGACCCTTCCATTAAAACGCAGAGACAGCTTATCAAACAGTTCAATGTTTTTCAACATATTGTCGTCAGAATTGCTGTAAAAGAGCATTTGATAAGGTGACCACAGCTGGTAAAAACAACCGCCCCTTCTTGGGCCCTTCTATGTGCAGGGCCCTACTGAGTCCAACTTCTTCACTATCTCATTTCAATCTTACAATAATCCCATGAGAAAAGCACCACAATCACCATTGCTTAAAGAAGCAAAGTGAGGGTCAGAAAAATTAAGTAATTGCCCAAGGCCAAAAACTGGTAAGTGGCAGAGCCAGGCCTCTCGAAAGATAGTTCTGGCCCCCAAGCCTGTGATTCTACCCAATGTGCTTGAGTGTCAGCTCTGCAACAGCCAGAGAGAGAATGCTGAGCCACCGGGCCTCTGGGCACAGAACCAGGTGGATGACAGAGCCTCACCAGCCCACATGAAGAGCAGTATGGCACTGCCCAAGGGAGGCTGTTTATCATAGATCTTTGTAAGGATCTTGAGTACCCTCATTAAATGCCCCCTATATCCCTCAAGATCCCCTGGCATCAAAATGGATCCAGAGCCCAGTTCGGTGAGGAGCCACGTGTGCTCACAAGGAAGCCGACAAGGTTAGGAGCTAACCTTAGAGCTACATGTTCCCAAGAGCCAAAAGGCGTTCTTAAAACCCACATATATTGCTGGCGAGAATGTAAAATGGTGCAGCCACTTTGGAAAACAGTTTGGGAGGTCTCAAACAACTAAACCTAGAGTTACCATATGACCCAGCAATGCTACTCCTAGGTTTATCTACCCAAGAGAAATGAAAACATGTGTCCAAAGATTTGTACGTGAATGTTATGGCAGCATTATACACAATAGCCAAAAAGTGGAAACAACCCAAATGTCCATCAAATGATGAAGGGATAAACCAAATGTGGTCTATCCATACAATGGAATGTTATTCTGTCATAAACAGAAATGAAGTATTGATTCGTACTACAACATGGATAAACTTTGAAGACATTATGTTAAGTGATGGAAGCCAGTCACAAAAGGCCACATGATTTCATTTATATGAAATGTTCAGAATAGACAAATTCATAGAGATAGGAAATAGATCAGTGGTTGCCTAGGGCTCGGGGGGGGAAGGGAAAGGGGTCCAGGGAAATGGGGAGTGAACGCTAATGAGTAGAGAGTTTCTTTCTGGGGTGTTAAAAAATGTTCTAGAATTAGTGTTGATGGCTACGCAACTTTGTGAATATACTAAAAAACACTGAACTGTATACTTTGAACAGGTGAACTTTATGGTATGTGTGAATTATATCTCTAAGTTCTACCTATCTATCCATCCATCCACGCAGGCACTACAGAGGTGCAGAGGGGTCATCCTCATCTGAACGGAACAAGAGGAGCTGGGCCTGGCTGGTATAAGTGGAGGTTTCCCTAGGAGTGCAGATGTCTTTCCTGGCTGATGCCTTACCTGGTATATGAATATTTATTATTACTTCTGTTGTAGAGCAACTTCACGGCTGGCTGTGGATTATTTTAAAAAAGGAAAAAGAGAGTTACTTGGCATGCAGGCGCAATGAACCACTCGCTTCCCACAGGGCGAGAGCCCTGCCCCGAGGCAGCGGAGGCAGACAAGCAGAGCCTGCTGGCTGCAGAGGGGGCCAACGTGACCCAAAAGCAGGGGGAACACAAGATGAGTTGTAGCTTCCCACCCAGAACGCTTTCTCGGGCCTTGCTCAGGCAATTACACATGCTTTTATTTCAAAACTTATTCAGAAGAATCTCTACTTCTGGTAGCAAAAGAAATTCCACAAGCGTGCCTCCAACATACCTTATTTGAAGTCGCTATAAGTTTTTGTTCTTCCTTGGATGAGGTGATCACAGGAACCTTGCAGAAAGGCTCGTAAGTATCTTTGTTCTGCTGGAACAAAACATGCTTTCAGCCTGGGAGGCCTGTCCAGCATCGCATTTTTTAAGCTAGCTTGCTGAGCAAAGACAGGCTCTGGTGAGGGGCAGTTGTGGCTGGGAAGACGGGAGGATTCTTACCACCAATGAAATAGAAAGGAGAAGACTAGGAGTTGAATTTTCCAGTAATCCTGCTCCTCAGCTATAGCCCTTACATGCCAGGGTGCTCAGTAAATACTAACAATGATGACACATTTCCCACAGCCCAGGAAGCCATTCGAAACTAAGCCCTCAACGTGGCAGCTGAAAGACGATTTAATCAAAAGTTCCTAAAATCCCGCTACCATGACTGCAGAGGAATTTAAAAAAGGTATAAGCTCATAAGAGAAAAAGAATGGAAGAAGGTCAGCTGACAAAAAAAAAAAAAAAAAAGAAAAAAAAGAGAAAGAAAGAAAGAAAAAAAAAAAGAAAACCTCACATAGCCCAAGGAGGGCAAGCAAGCAGAAGACCTAAAGAGAGTGAAGTCCAGTGAACAGTAGGCCAGATCTCTAGCAGTACTTGGTGGTGTGATCTAGCCTCGGGGAATGGCAAGGTG